GAGATCGACAAATATATAGTGTGTCTAGTACTGCTAGCAGTTAGCGGCTGGGTGCTCGCAATTGATGATGGTCGAGCTGCCAATAGGGTGTTGTAGATATTGTCCTCGTTCGCTGGAGGTAGGTACGTCAGTGTAGTCTACATGTATTCGCTATACTCGCTCGTCGCCTTCGTCATGTCGACGTGGGGGGAGGGCTTACTCGAAGAGACGACGATTGAGTTTCTTGCGCGAGCTCGAACGAGTCACTGGTTTCTCGTAGGTTTTGGCCGTTGCTGCAGCCGTCGCAAGCAGGCTCTGATGCTTTAGAGCACGACGATCCTGTGCCTTACGAGGAGTTGTCGCTGCATTGCGAGAAGCTTGAACCTGAAGTCCACGCTTGGCTGCTGTCTGTGCCTCCTTCAGCAAGTCACAAAACGAAATCGACGGTACTTGCGCTACTTCCTGCACTTCAGCCTTCGTCGACGAGGCCTGGAGATCCGAGATCACGCTCAAAACCGACGGGGTGAGTTGGAGCGGTGTTCTGCGGTGGTCATGGGGAGATTGAACGCCTAGTAGAACGTCCATGTTGTCGTAGAAATGCTCGCTGTCAACGTCCAGCTCAAACTCCAGCAAGTCGCCGTCGTAGTTTTTCAGGAAGGTGGAGATCCACTCGTAGCCATCTTCAGGAGTATCTCTGGGCTGTTCACGCCAGCTCATTCTTGCTGATGAAGATGCAAGCTACGGTGACTACGTTGGATTCGAACAGGGAGGCCAGACTTTTCTACTATGAAATTGCCACTGATGAACGTTCTGGAGAACTGTATCCGGAAAGTCCATCTTGAAAGAAAAGTTTAACCATACCAAATGATCTTGTTTGAGAAAGTGTAGATCACACACGTTGGCACCTTCAAATGTTGAAAATTTATTCAAAACTTGTCGAGTAGCCAGAAATCTTGTCAGCCAGCCTATTCCTCGTCTTGTTCGTCACGCTGTTCTCCATCGATGTCCTCGATTTGCTCGGGTGGTTGGGCCAGGCGTTTAAACCACGTCTTGTCATGCATGGTAGTAAACTCTTCCACGTCAAACTCATCCTCTAGAGCTCCGTAGCTATCCGCCGTCTCCAGCCACGTCCGGCATTGCTGCAAATAGAAAGAACTGTGAATCATACAGAACTGCTGAAGTAAGCCACAGTACACTCACCTCTTCGTCTTCGAACGGTGGCGATGCATACAAACATGCCAGATAATACCCGCCAAGTTTATCGTGGAAGTGATGAGCCGAGCGTAGCACCTCCACTGCACGAGTAAAGCGTGCGTCACCTGTCGCTCTCTTCTTCTTCTGCTTCTGAGTCTTCTTCTGATTATCTCCCAGCGTGGGAAAGGCTCGTACAAACGCAGTGAGGCCCTTACCGAGCGTGTTGAGTAAATGAGGCACTCGTTCATCGATTTCCTCCTCTTCGGGCTCATCCTGGTCATTCGTGTCCTTCCTCTTGCAAATCTCATGACACTCTTGCAGATCGAAGCCAGCCTCCGTCAACAAGCTCCTGTACTTTGCTTCCAGGTCATCGAACAGCGTCTTCCACTCCTTATCCGTAACTTTTCCTTCCAGACTACTACTCGTCAAGCACCTCGCAGCCAGATAGTTGGTCATCTCCATCAACACCTCAGCACTACCAGGACTCAACGCTGCAAATCATAACCACGTTAGAGCATACCTACATCACTAAAGTTACTGGAAGCCACTTACAGATAGCCTTCTGATACAGTGCGAGTGTCCGATGGAAGTCGTCAACGCTGCTTGAGTCCTCCAATAGACCACGTAGTACAGCCTCCAGTAGCTTTGCCTCTGCATAGTCCTCAGCCGTCACCTGATCGTCATCTTCACTGTCGTCCTTCTCTTCTTGAATCGACTCGTTCTCGTAGATTACTTCCAGTTTCTCACACATTTGCAGTGCTCTGTTATAGTAGACCTGTTTAACTTTATCCCCGTCCTCCTCCAAGAACGCGACTAGATCTCCTCCTTCCTTCAGTGCTTTCGCATATTGAAATCTCGTCTCGAACGTTGTGCCTCCGTCCACTTCAACTGCTCGCTGGAATTTCGATAGCGCCTGGTCCAGCACCTCTCGACTCTGGGTCTCTGTGGCCACAGTGAGCAGTGACGAGCCCCATAGAGAGAAGCCTACGGGTCCTAGAGCGGCGTCTGCGGCGTCTTCGTCCGACTCGTCCTGACTTAACGTCAACATCTGCTGGAATTTGTCCGCTGCAGCGTTTGCCAGCGTCGGGTCCTCGTTTAACGAGGCCAAACGAGCCAACGCTGTACCCCATAAGAAATACGCGTCTAGCTGCTTGGAAATGGGCAATTTGTCATTGCTTTCCAACAGTTTTTTAACACGCTTCCCGATCTGCCAGGTTTCTGCTCCCATCGAGCCACGAATACGTTAAATATGGTAAAGTGGAAGATGTTTAATGGTTTTACGTACGTTTTTGGGACGTTTCCTCCTCTTGCAGTAGGTCGTTAATGCTGGAAAGCTCGGCGTCTACTGTGGACAGGACTGCAGCGTCACTGCTGCTGTGGCCTGTGGCTGGGCGCTTGCTGTGAGCCGCGTCGTCGCTGCTGGAAGAGCGTTGCCGCTTGCGGTCTGTAGTTGCCATCGGTTTGGTTTTAGAAATGGGTTGAAATGGCGTGGCAGACATAATTTAGGTGGAAGTAGCGATTCGGTGGTAGATATACACGATATGGTGATGTTGAAGTTCATGTTGATGGCACTCGTTTAAGCAACCTGCCCACTCAATACCTGGACGTGCGTAGTGCTGTCAGTCCTAGACGCATGTTGCGTTTGTCTTCACAAGCCAACTCAAGCCATTGCACTTGCAATAAAGAGTGGCTAATTGTCAAACCAGTGCTAGTATTGTTGCCCAACTCCACGATCTGATTATCGAGCGTGCGAGCCAACACCATTACATGGGGATCTGATGCAAGCCAACGGGGTTTCCAACTCCAACCTGCACACTTCTTCTTCATTCTCATTTTGAAGCCCTAAAGTAAAGATGCGAGTCAGTCTCTTTGTCGTTGTCGAATCTATTGGTACGATGCTACTTTCCTTCGCACCAACGGTTCAATGCCACGGGTACCTCTCGTTCCCAGCCGCCGTTTATCGCGACCCGTATTCGGCCACGTCGTTCGTGACGACAATCTCTGAAAACATCGACCTGAGTACTTTTGGTGGGAAAAAGTGGAATGATACTCCGGCACTTAACGCTGCAATGTTCGCCTCATCGTTCCGGAACTCAAGCTACTCGTCGCTGCGTGAGATGATCGATCCTGTCGTACCTGGATGCGGTAGCACACGCCTCGATGTTGCTCCGGTTAATGTCACCGGTGCATCAGAGGCGCGTTGGCAGAACGACGAAGAGCACCGCGGCTTTGTCGACTCGCACCATGGTCCGTGCGAAATCTGGGTGGATGAGCATCGTGCGCTTCACAACGATGACTGTCGAGCTGCTTTCACGTCGTATCCAGCTCATTTGCCTCTTGACTACGACGCATTGTGTGATGGCGAATGTCGTCTCACGTTCTACTGGCTGGCACTTCACGAAGCAGCGTGGCAAGTTTACAGTAAGTTTCTAATTGTTTCATGTGGCTTTTATTGTACTGACAATGTATGGGATATTCTTGCAGAGGCCTGTGCTCCCATCGTCAATACCAACAATGCTAAACTCGCGTAGACTATGGACAACGTTTAGCTGAAATGTAGAAACGAAAGAGATTGAGAATACATGCATAACATTTGCTGGCCTTCAATCCGTTATTTTCCTTTGTGTGTGGACTTAGTTAACACTTCGACACACCAGCTCAGTCAATGTCGGCAAACGCGATCGCACACACTTCCTCTCCATTGAGGGTGGGAATTCCACTGTTTGTTCGGAGGATGGGTGTTATCTTGTGCGAAGTTGGCTACAGCAGTGACACTTCCTTGAACCACACGCAGCACTACAGTCATCGCAACAACTTGGACGAACTTATAAGTTATAAGCACTTACTAGGCACGATAAGCTGGTATCAACGACCACCGTGTAATTGCTAGTAAGCTTATCTAACAACGTCCATCCAAAATCCAAACTATCACGGTGAGACGGGGCCGTTGGTGTTTGCTGCCTACATGTACGTGGCTACAAGTCGCGTGAGAGTATCACTAATTTAAACACAATGCAGTTCAAGCCATCTTATCGTCGCAACTTAATATCGTATTCCGACGCATGAAGTTTCGTTGGCAGCTATGTACAGATATTGATTTAGGAAAAACATTCACAATGCTGGGACAAGTATATTTTGCGTTCTATGGAGATGTGCCGTGTATCACAGACACGCTTTGTGAAAGCAAGTACACGAACTTCTGCAGTTCTTCTACAGTAGAGTATGTTTCTCTACGATATCATTAGTATTATTCAAGACCATAAAGATTACAACGAGCAGTGAACGAGAACAAAACGTTTCACGAAGGCACTAAAAAAAAAAACGCTTGTATTGTTACATGGGACGATAGTTTGGTTCTGTGTATCGTTGGCACTATCCCTTGTGCTCGAGGTTCTTCATCGCCAGATAGCCTGTCGGGTGTTGGAGGTGCCGCATGCCGCATGCCGCACTACTGTCTGCCGTTACATTCAGGGGACCGGTTGAATTTGTCGCAGTGTGGACGACGGTCGTTCCTGAGACTACCAGCACTCACTTGGGCCATGGACAGCACGGCGGCCACGACAACAATACGGATGAGCTTCATGATGCGCGATGGTATTGTTGCTTGGGTTTCTTGTGTTGCCGGATTTGCTTGCGCAAGTCAAATTGGAGAATGATCCACTATCTGCGGACTGTAAGGCGAATAGAAACAGACCCGCGTAGTGAGTTATCATACGGCATGGCGGCATTGACGAAACATAATACTGACATATGAACTTCAACGAGAGGTGCAGATGTCTGAAGCTCGTGGCTGTAAATAAAACAGAGTCCACGTGAAATAGCAACCTCAGTTGCATTCCGTGAGAGAACTACAGACAAACAGAGGGTTTGGATCGATTCAAGGCTTCTCTATTATCAGCTACCATAGATGGTAAATCGAGGTTCAACATCGCTATATTGTATTATTTTGTGCCCTACCAATTTCCCGATGGAGATACACAATAGAAATAATAATGTCGCAATAGAGTGTAGCTCTATTGGATGGTAGCACTTAGGAAGCTTAGCACTGAAGGACTCGGGCGAATGAGGGCCGTCGACGTTCGACTTTGCAGTGTTGTACTTGTTGCGTTGTTGGAACATTGAGAACTGATTGTTGTTTTATCCACTACATCGAACTCCTATGGACTACTTGAGCGACTAGATGTACAGTATGCATATGTAGCAGTCTTGTAGTCTCATGCTACTGCAGATCCAGTTGGTTGCTGTTTCAAACTGCAAGTTCAATAGGTTTTTCCACACGTTGAGGATTTTCGCGAGAATGGAAACCACAGATAGTGGCCGATGATGCCGATTTCCTTTGACGGGCTGATCTCGCGACAAATAATGTATGCAGGGAACGCTTTTATCCTGGCAACCCATGAACACAAGCAATCAGCTTGTAGCAGACTGCTCTATGTAGTGGTTGGAAGCTGCACCCTGTAAGGCACCCACAGGATTAATATCACATGACATGACTCCTGCGGCCAAAATGCTGTCCGTATTAATAGTGCAGATGATCGTTCCGGTACTGTCCAGCTGGCGTTAGCTATCCACGGAAGACATCGAAACCAGACGTTGGGAACGCTAAGATCGGTTAAAGTATATTATATCGCGCTTGTTGTATGTTTTTTCAGCTTACAGTGAGTCCTGGACTTATGTGCTCCACCAGTATAGTGCAACTAAAGACAACCAGGCGCAGAACAACGATATACCCTGCCATCACATTAATGAATCTTAATCAACACAGTGTTCAGCCACTTCATGATCTTTACTGCGTTGGGCGCGATCCAGAGCAATGGCCACGCACAGGTCATCAGCGATCCAACTAGGGAGGTCGATCGGTGTCCTCTCTACAAACAATGGCAGAGCAAACATTGGTATTCTTCCATCGAAGAGCTGATACATGCTAACTCCAATCAAAAAGAAGCGAGAAATTTTTTTTTTAGGAAGATCGGAGTGCTAGTATTAGATTACTCCATGGTTTTCTACCGTGCTAAGTGTGTATCTGTTATTTGCCAGCATACTTTTTGTGTTGTGCATCTTCTTTTCAAACGGAAGATAGTGCCAGGGGTCGGATCGTAGACTATGAACGCATTTATATTATCAAAGGATCGCTATAGGTAACAAGACGCATTAAGACTTAAGTGTTTGTTCAATGTTTTCTCGTATTCTTCCAGGGGGGGGGGGGGGGGGTAACTTGTTCTCAAACTTGAAATGACTTCTTAGTCTCGAAAATTAGACCGAATTTTGAGAAAGAGGTAAAGGGTATGCTGATTGATGCGCTACTGTCTGCCATGACAATCTGGAGACCGGTTGAACTCGTTACAGAGTTGATGACGGCCGTATCTGGTGTGACCAGTACTAACTGGTGCGACGCACAGCGCGGCAGCTACGAGCATAATCCGAGTGAACGTCATGGGACGCGATGATCTTGGTTCTTCGAGTCACCAGAGTTGCTCGTACAAGTCAAATCGGAATATGAGTCATTATCTCCGGGCTGGATACAGAGACAACAAGCTTACAAGCAAATCGTTTGTCAATACCGACGATATGAGCCTTTTTGATAGAGTGGTAATCAATATTTCGAGTTGATATCCGTGTACACAATAATGGAACATCATGTATCGGCATGTATACAGTAGTCTGCGGTGTACCAGGAGCTGCACATTCCTTTTATCGCTTGACGAGCTGCCAAGCAAATATCGTGCTGCAAGAATTATATTTTCATTTCCTCGCGTAATTGTGCGACTTGACCACCCGATACATTTAAAAAAAAAAGCCCTATGAAATTACTGTCACCCTAGGCTCGATTGTTTTTCAGGAAGCGCTTTCCAGGCCATTTAATGCACATGAAATTTAATAAAAATGGACATGAAATTTAATAAAATGCACATGAAACGACGCAAAAACACCGTCTGATTGGCTAACGAACTTGAAGCTATGTGCGACCTGCCACGAGTCACACAGTAAGATCTTTTGCCATGAATCGAGACGACGACGATAATATCCGCGATGAAGACCAGGACGATGCGACCTCAACGCTGAACGGCGACGAGGGCCAACAGGCTGACGAAGAGTCCAACATCCGCATCTTCCTGCGTGTCAAGCCGTCCAAGAAACCCTCGGGCTTCTTCTCGTGGGACGACGACGCGAACATGATGAAGTACGACATCCCGAAAGATATAGCAGCTGGACTGATCAACAACTCCCGTACGTCATACAAGTTCCGCTTTGACTCAGTCATTGGCATGGAAGCCAAGCAGGAAGAAGTGTTCGATCGAGTGGGTCGCCCCTGTGTCGAGAGCGCGTTGAACGGCTTCAACTCGACCGTTTTCGCCTATGGTCAGACTGGATCAGGTAAAACCTTCACCATTACAGGTGGAGCTGAACGGTACGAGGACCGGGGTCTAATTCCACGGGCCTTGTCCTTAATCTTCGAGCGTATGCGTAACACCAGCCAAGCGCAGATCATCGCACAGATCTCGTACCTCGAGATCTACAACAATCAGGGCTACGATTTGTTGGATCCTAACCACGAATCGACCAAGTCTTTGGATGATTTGCCGCGTGTAGCCATGTTAGAGGATGAAGACGGCAATTGTCACTTAAGGAACTTGTCCATGCATCCGGTAACAACAGAGGAAGACGCACTCAATCTCCTCTTCTTAGGAGATACGAACCGAGCTGTCAGCGAGACGGCAATGAACTTGGCGTCTTCTCGTTCTCACTGTATTTTCACTGTATCATTGGAGACACGAAGAGTGGGGAGTGAAGTTGTGTTGCGTTCCAAGCTGCATCTTGTGGATCTGGCAGGATCAGAGCGAGCTCACAAGACTGGGGCTAAGGGCCAGCTACTACGTGAAGCCGCGTATATTAACACCAGTTTGCATTACCTTGAAATGGTCATTGTGGCTCTGCATGAGAAGAACACGAAAGGGAGGACACACATTCCGTACCGCAACTCGATGATGACCTCAGTGCTGCGTGACTCGCTTGGTGGGAACTGTAAGACTGTCATGGTGGCGACTGTGAGTCCTGAAAAAGACCAAACCGATGTAAGTATTCTTTTATTTCCTTGTGACCAAGTAATAATTACAAGGTTTGTAGGAATCCGTGTCTACTTGTAGATTCGCACAACGAGTGGCTCGTGTCAAGAATGACGCGCGTCTGAACGAGGAAGTGGACCCTTCAGTGATCATTCGCCAGCTCAAGGCTCGTGTTGCTTCTCTTGAAGAGGAACTGGCGATCCTCAAGGGTGATGTGGTACGAAACATTAGCATGGGAAAAAATGTGAAGATTACTACTTCGAAGTATAATGTCTAACAGTTTTATTTGACGCCGTAGAATGAAGGCGCCGAGCTCAAAGATTACGAGATGGACAAGCTACGTCAAAAGTGTTTGAACTTTGTCAACGACTCGGAGCCAAGCGCTCACTTGGCGATGGGCGAGTTCACGTATACAAAGATGAAGGCGTGTTTTGATATTCTCAAGAGTATGGCTAATGCTGCTGGAGAAGCAGCAGCTGGCGGCCCTAATAGCGGTGTAAAGCTCATTTCTGCAGGTACTGGAGGCAACAACCAAGAGTTGGAACAGCGTGTTCATGAGCTTGAACAACTCGTTCAACAGCGCGACAATGAGATCGCCATTATGGTTAACATGATTCGTAAGGAACACGGTGCTACAATCCCCGCAGAGTTACTAACAAGAGGATTCGTAGGTTACACCAGTAACCAAGACGAACATGAGTCAAAGCCTCAAAAGAAGCAAAACGCACCGAAAAAACAGCCAGGTGACTACACGTCAACGCTAGTGGTGGACTCTGCAGTACTAGAAGACCCTGCTAAGGCATTTGAAGCCTTCAAGGCGCAATATCCAAAGAACGACGCGATTCGAGACAATAAAATCGCTCTCAAACGCAAATATGACGCTGCCAAGACTCTTGCAAGTGATGTAAATGATGCTCGTAACCAGATTAAGGCTCTAACACTAAAGATTGAGAAGCTTCGGAAGCAGCAGGCGATAGCTGATGAAGGGCTGCTAGGGGTTGATGATGGTTCACCTGGCTCGGATGCTGCAGCGTCTGCAGCTCGAGCGGAGTTGGAAGCTGCTGAACAAAAACTCAAGGCAGACATTGACACGCACAAGATTGCATACAAGAAAGGGTTCAACGAGCTCAGCGAACTGAAGAAAGAGATTCAACACATCCAGAAGATGCTCGAGATGGGTCGCATTAAACTTCAAAAGGATTTCGATTTGTGGTATCAGCGACAGGGAAAGGGGGCGCTGTTGACAGAGACGCTTCTTGCTCAAGCGAAGCCAGAGGGGAACCAGTTTACAGGTAGTCGGAGTCAAAAGTCGGATTTGTCAAAACCAACCAAATCGTTATCACCGGAGCGCCCTGAAAGCGCTTCCCGAAAGCCTCCAGCCTGGAGTGCAGAGGTAAAAGATCCGAAAAGGTTCTCATCGTCACAATCGCTTCGTTCATCAGTAGCAAGGCAAAGCACAGCAAGGTACGACGTGTTTGTTTTGAGATATTTGATATTGTCATGGTTCACGTTGTGAATTGCAGCACTGTCGAAGAAGACGTTTCCGGTTTTTATGAAGCGCTTGATATTCTCAAACGACGCAATGATACGAGAAAATAAATAACGTGGCCTTGATTCCTGTTGCAATTGTACGTTGTGATACCATGATCAGAATGGTGATCAATTGCCAGAGTCACAATCACTGGATTGTTACTGTTTGTTGGAACTAGAACCCCATCGTGCAGGTACAGATTTAGTTGGCGACATATCTGACACCTTAGTTATACATGGTTGCCCGTTCCTATTAGACGTCTACCTCACATTGTCAATCGGAAGCTATTTTTTTTGTCAGACACACGCTCCAAGATTTCACTCGCAAGCGTCTTGCCTGGCAGAAATCCATATTGCAGAGGCGACATTGCGTGGAGCGGTAGAGTTTAAGAAAAGCCAGCCGGCATGAGTCTTTTGCAGCATCCACCCGCAGGATGTCTTAAAGGGTTGCCACTGTATCCACTGTACACAACGTAAATATCGACTAATCGCCAGTATTCGATCCGTTACGCCTAACAGCGTTGGCAAGTGGCCCATGGCGTAACCCTCTCATTTCGTCTTTCTTCCACCACTTCTCTTACAAATAAAATGCCTCCGTCAAATGCTCGCTGCTGTGCTAGAAGTAGAAGCCCTCGACGATTGCAAGACCACAACGATAGCGCTCAACCAACACCATTCAATGACAACTTACCTGTCCAATCCGACACATGGATGCGCTCGGACGCTGTGGAGTACACTCGCAATGGCACCCTCGCCCGCCTCCTGTGGCCACTGTGCGTGGTTGGGTGCGCCAAGCGTGGCGCGACACGCCTCAGGCCGTTGTGGTGAACTCGATTAAGGCTGCCTGTTTACATGCCGATCCCACGCGCTGATTCATATGGAATTACGACGCCTACGGGTGGTAGTTCCAGCAACATAGTAGCTGTGATGAGACAGGAAACGAGCTAACTACGGAGCTTGAGAGTGAGGGCCATTCAGTCTTGACGACTTAAGTCACTCTGGAAGCATCTAAATAACCAGCTTTTTGAAGCGTCTGATAACCCACCGCTTAAAGATCAAAGTTCGATAAGGCGAAGCCTTCAGCGATGCCAGGATTCTATAGTTACTAAAAACGTAAATAGAGGACCTCTGAACCACCACCACGAAGTAGACTTATGTCAAAAAGCTTTAACTTCAAAGTAACGCTTATGGGATGAATTTTACTGGACTCCTGGATGAACAGGGCGCTGCTTCCACTCATTTTTCGTTTGCCACGTTAACGCACAACCCCTCTGCATGGGTACCTCAGTTGGTAAACTACGCCGTTTGGAAGATGCTACACCGAGTTCAAGGTCATACCTAGATGCCGACTTGCCTTCCGATCCCTCATCCTTCGCCTTCGATGGAACCAACTCTGATTTAGCACGGCAGCTGTACTATCGGTCACTTGCAGGAGACTCGGCCGATCAGCTCAACCTCTCAACTATTCCTTCCAAAATTCAAGACAGGCTCGATGATCTCGATGTTAACTGGGCTGATTTGGATGGTATCGCCCAACGTGCAGTGCTTTGGGACACCGGATTTGGCATCTCAAGTTCCGATGAGCCCGTGCAAATTTTTACCGATGGCAGTCACTCCATCGCGAACCTTGCCGTCCCAATCAGTCACTTCGCCGGCGCAGGGTGCACCTGGACGAATTGCTCTCAACCAGATGGCAGCATTAGCTACAGCAATTTGGCTTGTAACGCAGAACAAATGCTCTCAAAAGCAAGGTGCTTTGCTGAGGATTTCGAAGACGATACTTGGGTTCTCAGCCCAACGTGGTCCACCGGAGGATGGCCACCAATGATTCCGACTCCGCGTGTGTACATGGACAGCTGGACTGACCCGGCTGACAATACTACTTATACAGTCTTCGCCATCCACACACTAGCCTTTGATCAAGAGCCATTTTATAGCGAATGCCCTAACACTACAAGGAACGGTGGCTACGGAAGTCTGGTGGTCCCGTGCGCACCAACGGCGAGGGTATCGGCTTCATCGAGTTCAGAAATTACACCAGTGGAAGGAAGCCCCTGGGTATCTCGATGGATTGCGGAAGAGTACTCAACGAAAACGACTCCACTTCTCAGCACATCAGCCACAGTTGGAATTATTACTGGATGCATTGTAGTTGTTCTCGTCATCCTCGGATTCATCATCGCCTGCAAGCATCGTTCCAAGAAAAATAAAGGCCAAACCGGCTTGTGGGACGACGATATTATCACTGCTAAGCGCATCCCTCGCAATCGGGTCCAAGTCAACCAACTGCTCAGTCGAGGCGCTTTTGGAGAGGTTTACGCTGGCGCATTCAATGACCGACAAGTCGCAGTGAAAATGCTACTTCCAAGCACCCGCCGTGATATTCGACTAGTGAACGAGTTCCTGGCAGAAGCCAGGTTAACCGCTTGCATGGAGCACCCGCGCATCGTCACTTTGGTTGGAGTTGCGTGGGATACCCTCTCGGATTTGTGTATAGTGCTGGAGTTCATGGAAGGTGGAGATTTGCGGTCACTGTTGAACAATTACGAAAAAGCAAAAAGAAAATACCCCGTTGGGTTCAGTCGCGAAAAAGTGACCATAGCGTTGCATGTGTGCCACGCACTCACGTATTTGCATTCACTGGAACCGCCTGTAATTCATCGCGACTTGAAGTCGAGAAATATTCTATTAGACGAAATGCACGAAGCCAAGTTGACCGATTTCGGAATTTCTCGAGAGCGTCTTGACCGCACAATGACCGCAGGAGTGGGCACGTCGTTGTGGATGGCTCCGGAGGTCATGATGGGCGAAAAATACGACGACAAGGCGGATATTTTCTCGTTTGGTGTTGTGTTGTCCGAGTTGGATTTCCACACTCTTCCGTACGCTCAAATCAAACGGGAGATGGAACGTTCACACGGCCGACAAATGTCAGATGCTACGCTGCTTCAACGAGTGGCGATGGGAGCGACTAGTGTAGAGTTTTCTGATGTTGGTCCGCAGTCGATGGTGGATCTTGGTAGAGCATGTGTTTCTGTCGATCCTAGTAAACGTCCATGTGCAGCTGAGGCGCTGTTTAAGCTCCAAGTCGTTCTGTCGAAGGATCTGGCGTGAGTGAGTTTTATTGTTAATAAAACTGGTATGTTAAGGAAATTAAATTCAAGTTGGAAAGTCCGAACGACACTCGTTCTTATTAAGTTTAGCACGTGGTAAACACATGAAAACCACTAACCAGCTCTAAACGTTTGGGTTTCCGCGCTGCTAACTTAGCAGCTGAGCTCTTTAAAACTTCTGAAGAGCGTGAGAATTATTCTGAAGGACAGAGATAGTCGTTGAAAGATATCTTGGGGCTGTCTGGTTTCTATTGTGACTGCGAGCTTGAAGCGGCTGACTAAAAACTTGAAGACGAAATGGACAAGATCAAGATAGAAACGATTCAGCGTTCTAAAAAATTGAAGCAGAGATAAAGGTTTGACTGGTGATACGCTCAGAAATTGAACCCCCAAGAAAGTTGTAACAAAATCACCGAAGAAAAACCATCATGCCAAGTGAAGCTTCACCCCCAAATTCATCGCTGAAGATTTTCAGAGAGCACATCCAGATCGCTCTGGTGATAAAGATTGGATTCGTTTTGACAACTCAGATTACTCCTATCTGAGAAGAAGCACACGTTCTGAGTTTGAAGAAGCGTTTGACATGTTCGAGCGACCCAACAAGTAAACGGTTAGAATGGTTTACTCTTCTTGGTTTGGATCAGCATCTTGCTGCAAGGCAATTCTTTTTCTCTTTCCTATTTACGGAAACGAACGAATATAACGTTGATGCTGCATCAGGGAGCGAAAATTAATTAATTGGAACTTTATTGTGCTTTGCACACATTCTGTCTAAACGATGTTCTATTTTTTTTTAGCAAAAAAAAATAGAACATCGTTTAGACAGAATGCTTGAAAAATAATCCAACATTGATTTACCTACCGTAATCGTCGAATTAACGTTGGATTACCATTTACTCGAAGAGTTAATGTTGTCTTATGCGTGTCTTCGTTGAATGGCTGTAGTAGTAAAAGCGCCAAACCAACTTCGCGCACTCTAAGTCTTTCTTAAGCCCGTGCAGCTCCATTCCAGAAGATGACAATTTCTATCGGCATGCGTTGGAGATCTATTGTGCTGACCTACATCTAAGACATTGACCTAAGTGTCGTTGCGTCCGTTATGGGGGTCTCGACGCGGTATATTTCTCGTTGGGAGTTACTGTTTCGTCGTAGAGGTAATGTGATACCGAACACGCGAATCCCGCTTCAAATGAGAATGAACCTTTGTTATTTGCCGATTGGCCCGTGAAGGAGCAGGACAGTGTGCAGGCAAGCACTTGTTCAAGAAACAAGCTGGGAAAGAAGTAGCCGGGTATTGCCTTTTTGCTGTGGCTTTGCTTTGTAGCTGCAGAGTTGCTTTGTTATCCGGTATAATTAACTTATTTTTAACGTTGGGTTATGTTCTAGCTTTAGATACACGAAATAGATTTGTAGTTGTTTAGATGCGCTATTCATAAGCCAAAGTTGATGCAAAGCACAATACATAAAACTATATATCGCGTTATAAACGTTTAATGATTAATTGTGGGCTCTTCGATGGTTTCTGCGACTACTTTTGACTTTAATTGTGTTTGAAAGGACAATATTTAGCAATGCAACATTTTTGTCGCC